AAAAAAAAAAAAGGAACACTACCAAACTCATTATATGAAAATAGTATTACTTTGATACCAAACCAGATAAAGACGGATGGACACACACACACACACACACACACACACAGAAAGGCGGGGGGCAGGGAGAAGAAACTATAGACAAATTTCTCTGATGAATACACATAAAAATTCTCAACATTTGCAAAACAAATTCAACACATTTAAAAGATTATATACCAGGGGGCTGGAGAGATGGCTCAGCAAAGGACCTGGGTTCTATTCCCAGCACCCACATGGCAGCTAACAACCACCTGTAACTCTAGTTCCAGGGAATCCGAAGCTCTCTTCTGACCTCCATGGGCAATGCATGACACGGGTGCACTTATATACATGCAGGCAATACACTCGTACACGTAAAATAAAAATAATAAAAGATTAAAAGATTACGCAACAGGGGTAAACAAGTTTCATTCCAGGAATGTAACAATGGTTCAATACACACAATAAATGTCAGTCATCATATAAACCGACTCTGGGAGAAAAGTCACATAATCATCTCAGTAGAGGCAGAAAAGGCCTTTGATAAAGTTCAACATTCCTCCATGATTAAAGCTCTGCAGAAACTTAGCAATACAAGGAACATACCTCACATTATAAAGTGTATATATGACAAGCAGAGGGCCTGTGAGAAGGCTGAGCAGGTAAATTCTCCTGCTGCCAAGTCTAACAATCTGAGTTTGATTCTTTGAACTGACATGGTAAAAGGACAGAACTCACTCCAGCAAGTTGTTCTCTGACCTCCACATGCAAGCCATGGCAGGTATCACACTGCATACACATACACATACACATACACATACACACATACATACATACACACACAGAGTCACAGGGAGAGTAAATAAAAATGTAAGAAAAAATATTAGAAACCTATAGCCAACATACTAAACAGAGAGAACCTACAAGTGTTTCCTCTAAAATTAGCAACAAGAAAAGTTTGTTCACTCTCTCCACTTACTTAATATAGTGCATGAATTCTTAAAGCAATAAGGAAAAAGAAAAATGGGACCCATTGCTGGGAGCTATTAATCCATTATGTACACTGAGCTGTGGCAGGCTTGCTTGTTACTTAGAGTTTGTGTTTTGCACACCAGTACCTAATCTGCCAAGTCAGGAGGAATGTGTTTATATGGTGGAGTTCACAAGTATTTGACCGCTCCCTGACCCTCAGATACAGGTGGGAAAAACAGCTGTTGAAACTAATTGAGCTAAGCAAACTGGGCTGGTATCTCTGATGTTCTACTGTATAAAAGGGTGGAGCTAAAATAAACCGGGGCTGCAGTCTCTACTGACAGTCCTCCCAAGTATCTTTTCTCTGTCTCTTGTTTTTTCTTTCAATCCTCACTCCCTCTTTCAGGTACTGTCTGTCTTGGGAGGCTGGCACCAGCAACCCATGAACTGGAGAGATGGTTCAGAGGTTAAGAACCTCTTACTCTTACTCTGCTCTTACAGAGGACCCAGGTTCAATTCCCAACACCAACATAGGGGCTAACAACCATCCAAAATTCCAGTTCCAGGGGATCCAGTGCCCTCTTCTGACCTCTTTGGGCATTGCCTCACACAGGTGCACATACATACATGCCAGTAATACAATCATACACATAAAAAATAAATAAAAAATGAGAAAGAAATGAATTTATCCCTAAATGTAAATGATATCCAATATGTAAAAGAGCACAAGGGCTGGAAAGATGGCTCAGCAGTTAAGAGCACTGACTGCTCTTGCAGAGGACCCGGGTTCGATTCCCAGCACCCACATGGCAGCTACGAACCGTCCTTAACTCCAGTTCCAGGGGAATCTGAAACCCTCTTCTGACTTCCGTGGCACTGCACAACACAGGTGCACTCACTTATATGCAGGCAATACACTCATACACATAAAATAAAAATAATAAAAAATAAAACATTAAAAAGTTTTTTTTAAAAGACTATATAAAAAAGTTTTTTAAAAAGACTATCACAAACTCTCAGAACTAACAAACATTTTCAGCAAAATAGCAGGAATCTTTATGCATTGCTGGTGGGAATGTAAATTAATGTAGCCACTATGAAGAGCAGTATGGAGAGTCTTCAAAAACCTAAAAACAGAACTATCTTACAACCCAGCTTTGCTATTCCTGGGCATATACCCAAAGGACTTTAAGTCGCACGACAATAAAGATACTTGACATGCCTGTTTGTTGCAGAACTATTCACAATAGTCAATTTAAGTAACCATCCTAGATGTCCACTAACAGATGAATAAAGAAAATGTGCTAAACACAATGGAGTAGTGGCCATAAAGTAAATAATATGCCATTTGCAGTAGAATTGAGATTATTACATTAACTGAAGGCAGACTCAAGAAATCAAGTGTTGCATTTTCACTCATATGTGAAATCTAGATTTAAAATACATATAAACTCAAAGTATAAGGGAGTAGCAGGAAGGAGGGGGAGATAAAAAAAGGTCACGAGGGGATGAATATAAGCAAAGTATATATGACAATGTCATAAGGAAACCTACTATTTTATATGCTAATTAAAATCATTGAATTGTATAAATTATAAAAAAATTCAATAGCTATGAACACAGTTTTGCATAAAAAGACAATTTGAAGATGTTAAAGAGGTGCTAGGGATATAGTCCAATTGGTAATTTATCTAGCATATATGAGGCCATGGGTTCAATCCCCAACAAGGCACAAATAGCTATGATGGTATATAGTGGTACCAGCATTTGGAAGCTGGTATCAGAAGGCTAAGAAATTCAAGGTCCTTGGCTACATAGTGAGTTCAAGGCTAGCCTGGACTAAATGAGACACTGTCTCAAAAAAGTAGTTCAACAGACATGAGTTAGGACATAATTTTCTTTTCTGATTGTGCTATGTAGATTATACTGATCACTCATCATGAGTTCAACAAGTATTCATTAAGCTTTTGATGTAGATACAAAGATTTTAAAGAGCACTGGGTGTAGTGCTAAATTTAGGCACTCAGGATGCAGAAGCAGGTGGATTTTTATTAGTTCAAGGTCAGCCTGGGGTACATAGCAGTTCTAGGCCAGCCAGGGTTACATAGTAAGACCCTGTCTCTAAATAAACAGAAAACACAAAGATTTAAGAGGAAAAAGATACATTCAGACAGCATCTAGGATAAATTTACATATGGATTATCCAAGGTCAAGCAAGGCACAAATCACCCGGTTACTTGAACAGAATGAATGAAATACAAACCATAGTTATTAACAAGACCATTGAAAGGATATCTATCATGGGAAGTAACTGCAAAAAATATCTACCACCTACACAGCTGGGGAAATAAAAAGTTGTTTACAATTATGAAAACTTAAAGAACCTTGCAAGAAGAGCCCCATGGAGCTGAAACTGAGACTTCTCAAAAACTTGGACTCCTTATACGAAGACTGCTATTCACAGGAACTCCAGTAAAGGATAACTACAGGAAGCAACTCACAGGAAGTTGCTTCCTCTTTCCAACTTTCTTGACTGCCCCCTATTGAAAGAGCCCAAGATGGAGCTGGGGGAAATATAGACACATATTTTATATAGTTCTACCCCCAGTAACACAGAGGAGATGATAGAAGAGAACTGAAGTTGAAAGACACTGTAATAAATGGCACTCACATCAACGTGACAAAGGCTCAACAACAAAGACTAACAGCCTGTAGGCAGGCCACACTCTAAGTATAATAAGACATTTTAAAAAAATCTCTACTTTGGTAGCAGTTTTAATCTACTATAACTTGAAATCAACATAATTACTAGCAGTGTATCAGTAAAAATAGACTGCAGCTTTTCAAGAATTCATAGGGGAATAGTTATCCCTTTATCTCCCACTTGTGGTGCTTTTGTTAGAATAACCCTAAAGCTCATTTATTTAAAAATAAATTGGAGCTGGAAAGATGACTCAGAAGTTAAGAGCACTTCCCTTTCAGAGTACCCAGGTTCAATTCCCAGCACCCACATCAGGAAGTTCACACCGGCCTGTAACTCCAGTACCAGGGGATCTGACAAGGTCTTCTGGCCTGTATGCACATGCTGTATATACATAACAGTTAAGGAGACACACACACATAGAATAAATATTTTTTTAAGTCATCTGTAGGGGCTGGAGAGATGGCTCAGTGGCTAAAAGCACTGACTGTTCTTCAAGAGGACCCAGGGTCAGTTCCCAGCACCCACATGGAGGCTAACAGTCAGTAACTCTAGTTCCTGGGAAAATCTAATGCCTTCTTCTGGCCTCCACAGGCATTGCACACATGTACACACACAACACACAGGAAAATCACTCAGCACTTAAAAATAAATGAACTTAAAATAAAAATCATCTCCAAAATGGGTAACAAAGCCTCAAAGAGAGCATTTACATTAGATCTTGAGGAAGGAAGATTTCCACTGACAGAAAAGAGAAAGGCACTCCACATAGGAAAAAATAGTAATTTTTTAGCAAAGAAAGGCAAATGGTCTTGACATGACTTAAACATTTGAGGGGGTCCCAGAATCCATAGCTTTGACAGGAAAAGCATATGAACAACAGGATACTAATACGGTTGGTGGAACAATTTGAAGTTAGAGACCATGTCCTAGGAATAACATTAATACAGGCAGCAGAACCCAAATACTCACTAAATTAACACATCAGAATAGTGTGTATCTCTAATAATTACATACTTAACATTACAGTCATGACTCAACCACATTTTAACTACCTACCTGCTGCAAAGTCTTTTCACAATGAAGACAGGCTGTTGAAACCTGGGACAACAAAATAGTCATATCTTCTTGTTGCTGCCTGAGCCAAATCAGTTTTTCACGAACATGAGCATCAACAACACTTAGAGCCATTTCTTCTTGACGACAAAGAGTTTCATGTAAATCAGAAAAATAAGCTCGGACACATGATCGGGCATTCTCTGCAGTACCTGGTACCTAGGATAAAAGTAAATTTTAAACACCCATTAAAAAAATACTTTATATGCAAAATATCAAAACTTAAATATCATTTATAGTCTTTTAATCTTTCAATTAGATCTTTCCCTTTAACTATGAACTTTGAATAGCCAACTGTTTATAAATTATATCTCAAGCAAAATGGAATACCTAATCTCCAGTTTTCCCCACCTCCAAACCTAGTTACCTCCATCTCAGTAAATGGTAACTCCATCCGGTTATTGAAGCCAAAAAACAAACAAACAAACAAGAAAACAGGAGTCATCCTTAACATCTCTTTCATATTCACAAAGCTAGTCTCTTGGCAAATTCTGCTGACTTCAAAAATATATCAAGAATCTGGTCATGCTTTAATACCACCACCTCCAACAAACCAGTAAAAATATTATATAATTTCTTGACAAGTAAAATTGCCTGTCCAATCAATACTGAAAATTAATTGCTGTCTTAGCTATTCTTTTTTAAAAATATTTTATTATTTTTATTTTATATGTATGAGTGCATTGCTTACGTGTGTAAGTGCACCCATGTACTGCCTGCATGTATGTAAGTGCACCTGTGTCGTGCAATGCCCATGGAGGTCAGAAGAGGGTGCGGATTCCCCTGGAACTGGAGTTACAGATGCTTGTTAGCTACCATGTGGGTGCTGGGAATTGAACCTGGGTCCTCTGCAAGAGCAGCTAGTGCTCTTAACCGCTGAGCCATCTCTCCAGCCCCAGACTTAGCTATTCTTTAAAATCCCAAATCCATCTACTTTTTTTATTATTACTACTCCAGTGGTAACAGACATAACCATCTCTAAACCAATTTCAATAGTGTCCTAATAGACCTTCCTGCTTTTTCCACTGTTGCTGTGCCTCCAGCTGATTTTCTACGTTGAACAGTAACATTTCTTAACGTAAATGTGACTGTGTCATTACTATGTCAATTCTTTAACGGTTCATAATTGCTCTTAAGCTAAGTTGCAAAGTCTTCAACATGACTAAATAACTCTGGTATGACTTGGCCTTTAATTCTCCAATTTTTCCCTTTTCTAGTCCCAACTCAGGCTCCAAACATAGTTAACTTCTCTAAGATCTTATAATCTGTCCAATCCTTATGTCCAATTATTAATGTGTATTCCTCCCTTTCTGGGACAACTCTCTTCCCACCCTGCTCTTCTCTTTGACGGAATTCCTTCAAATCTCAGTTTAAACATCGCTTCTAGGAAGCCTTCCATGAAGGCTATAAAGTATACATCTCTTATACACTGCTGAGTATACTGTACTTCCCTACCCACCACACAAAATAATTACCATGCTTGAAACTACCTTGTATCATAGATTACACATACCATGAAGACAAAAACTATTTAAAAAAACTTTTTTCTAGTGACTAGTGCAGTACTCGTACACTTTAATTTTGCAATACTTACTAGAAAGTGAAAAGGTGAGAATGAAAAAATTAAGGAGATAAAGAGGGAAGAAAAAAATCCATACATGTTCTGTGTGAGCCATTCCAATTCCATCTTCCACGATCTGTTCTCCTCCTTCAATGTGCTGAACAATTCCAACTAATTTTCTGGAATAATCTGAGATTTCTTCAGTGAAGGTCCGTATGCAGTGAGCCATATCTAAAATTGACGCTCGGATCTGGTTAGCTTCTGGTTCCAGTACTGAATGCTATACACACAACACAATTATAGAGAAGAATTCACAGTTGTGATCAAGGACTAACAAAACCTATTTAAATCCTTTTCATGTAAATGAAATCAGTCACAGGTGGCTTTTATAACATATTTCAAACAAGTACAACATAGGAAGGTAAAAAAATACTAATTTATAGTCACATCTTTATAAGAGTTATACTACAAAAAAAATTAGAAGTTAGAATTCCATTTATTGCTATACAAGAAACAAAGAGTTTCTCCAAAATCACATCATAAGAGTTTATCAATAGATATAGATATTATCAAAGCAATAAGTATATTATGAACACATGCACACAAAGAAGAGACTTTGTTTCCTGCTGGAAATAATCATGAAGCCTCTAAATTTCTTTTATAACATTCAGATACTAAAATTCTCAGTTCTTTCTATGTTACTAACAGCAATTCATCGATCATTTTTCTTCAATTTTTCATCTTTGCATATATTAATAGGACAATGAAAACAAATTGTAGATGGGCAAAACAGCAACTCATCTAATTTAATCAAGTTCATACCTTGTGACCTTGGTGTTTTCCATATTCTTTGCAGACACAGCACATGAGCGGGCTAGTTTGACAACCTTCTTCCAAGCAAACAAATTCAATGGCATGCACCTGGTGCTGAGAGCACATGGTTTTCTCATGAGGTTTATCAGCTAGAGGAACTCGCCTATGCTTTGCTAATGTCTTTGTAGAGTGAGTAACTTGAGAGCACTCTGAGCACAAGTGAGTTGCACACACAGTGCAATATACAGATGCAACGTGAGCTTCATCTTCATCACAGCGAATGATACTCTGATAAACAAAAAATTAATGCCTTAAAGCCAAACCTACTCATTAAAACATAACAAATTTTGAAATATAAAACCCCATGGTTTTTGATATTTAGCTTACCAGTCTCCGTGTACTGTATTAAAAAGGGAAATGTCATGTCAATTATGCCAAGTAGAAACAATGGATTTGAACAAAGAAAATCAAAGTAAAGCAATGCAAAAATGATTCTCAAACAGGCAGCTTCCAGAACCAGAAGTTGTTCTAAAAACTTCAATCCAAAATGTGATCAAATAGCGTTTACAAAGAAACAGAGGAAAATAACTAGGTACAGCTTAATCAACCAGTCAGTGAGGTGCAATTTAATTAGTTACTTGGGCACAAGGATTCCCTTAACCAACCAAAGTTAAGTTTCTTCCATTTGCCAAACTATGTTTGAACTCTACCATAGTTCTGTGTGTTGGGCCTAGCGCAATCGAGTCCACACGTATGTTCTCCCACAAATTGTATACAACAACGAAAATATATCAGTAAGTAACTACAAAGGCTATATGCTACCCATCTGAGAAAGCATTTATTTCTTCAGGCAAGTAAGAAGCTATTTCCAAGACTAATTACCAATACGAGCTATGAATCTGAAGAGAAAAATAAAATTATTCTCAAAAATATAGTCTTATTTTTTTCAGTGCTAGGGACTGAACTAGAGCCTTATGAATGCCAGGCATATGTCCTGCTATGAAGCTATATACAAAAACATCTCATGGATTCAGTTAGTGCAAAGATCTTTTCCATCAAATTTATACAAGAAACTAAACCATAGAAAATTATTTTTTAGAAAATTTATTTTTAAAAAAAACCTGATAATTAAATATATCCCCACTGCTTTAATTATCTGTCATGAAGCTGCATAAAAGGAAAGCAGCATGCTATATAAACAACCTGATGCAAGGTATCAGAATTAGCTGTAGAGTCTTTGAAAATACCTAGCCCCAACCTGGGAAATTCTTAGTTCAACAGGGTATGAGTCCTGAACTTGTATATATTTTTCCAAAACTCCATAGTGCTTTCTAATAGCTCTATTGGTAAATACTGTACAATCACGACTAAAATCACAGATTTAGACAAAAATAAACTCTGCATTATAAACAACCTTTTAAATATCATTTCTAATTTTCATGAAGTACTAAAGCATTTGTTTGTCTGTAGTCCTGGAGCCCAAATGCAAGGCTTCTTCCAGGTTCAGCAAGTACTCTGCCATCAAGCAATACCCAAAGTCTTCTAAAACCCACCGTGTGTTTAAAAAAATAACACTTCAGATCATTAGGAATGCTTTGAAAATTTTTGTGTAATATTAAAAGGTTATAATTGGAAGGAGGGAAATCTAGCAAATTTTTCCAGAAATAATAATTAGTACATTGATAGTGCCGTTTCTTGTCACATTAAATAAAAAAAGACCCAAAGACTGAAAGTTTTGCTTTGCAATAATGAGAAATATGTATTTGAACCACAGAACATTTATGTTTTCTGTTTTCTAGATCTGATGAATAATTTACAAGGTCAACATTACATAATATTATAATGCTTTAAAAGATAAAGATAATAGACACAGCATATGAAAGTACTGCAAAGATTTTATAAATTAGAATGCTTCAGGTTGAAAATCATTTTACTGATTCATTTTAATATAAAGAAAGCACCATACCATAAAAGGGAAGTTGCAAGCAATCTGCTGGGGTTTTTAATTCAAATATGTAGTTTTTTAAAGTCCATTACTAAAATCATTAACAATTATTTGCTGTGAATATTGTTATATACAGAAGTCTGCCTTTTATTAAATAAGCTATGCAGACAATTCTTGAAGTGCTGAAAATATACTGTCACAATTTTTAATGGATTACTTTGGTAATATTTTTATCAGACAGATGTCTGTCAGGATAAAGTACATGAAAAACATAAGGGAAAAAAAAACCTTTAATTGTTTTGAAAACATTTAATAGAAGAAACTTCATCAGAATCTACTATTATCTATAAAGTATTTCACATCTACACTGAGAGGTCTTTCATAGTTTGTCTTTTCATGTATTTTGCTATTGACCATTTAGTTGAGCATTTTCCATTCTAATGTAGATTAAACATCATTTTTTCTCATAATCTACCTTAAAAGTGTCCTTAAATAGAGCTGAACTATGATAAAGAGAAAATATTACATAGAAAGCAGTTTAGGCACAGTACTTCCAAAACTTCAAGTTTCTGTTTTACTTTTGTTCCACTGAGAAAAATACTGCCTATAATGTAATAAAAAGTTATGTTTCTAGAAAGCTGCTGGCTAAAGCAGATGAGGTACTATGCACTAATCATGTGAAATATTTTAGGATAAAGGAAAAATTCATCTTATAATAAATACTTTAACAAGTCTGATCAGTACCTCTCCAGATATCCCAATGGCTTCTTCTGCAGCTCCATACTGACCAATATGTCCATTTTGCAATCGTTCTAAAAGTTCCAGCAAAGCAAAATTCTTTTTCAATCCCCAGACACCAGAATCTCCTAGGACAAATATGAAAACAAAACTAAATGAAACAAAATGGAATTTTAATCAATTTATCCCATACTTGAGTAATTTCTAACATACATAGTTTAGTCATTAATAATGCCTAAAAAATACAAATTTTCTTTTTCTTCCAGGACAAGTGTTTGTTCTTGTTCTCTTTAGAAAACAAGAACTTGCAGCATTCTAAGTAGAAACACACTTGAAAATCCTAGTTTTTCTAACATTTAACTTCACAAATCTTATTTTATCACATTTACTATCTAAACTAAAACATATATTTCAATATACATATTTTTTAATATTTATTATTTTTATGTGTATGAGTGTATTGCCTGCATGTAAGTGAGTGCACCCGTGTCATGCAATGCCGTGGAGGTCACAAGAGGGCTTTGGATTCCCTTGGAACTGGAGTTAAGGATGGTTCGCAGCTGCCATGTGGGTGCTGGGAACAAACTCTGCAAGAACAGTCAGTGCTCTAAACCACTGAGCCATCTCTCCAGCCCTATTTCAACATTTAAAAAAATTTTTTAATAGATAACTTCAATAAGAAAGGCATTTTGTATCACAACCCGAGTGTGCATGGATGTACACACACACACCATTGTGGTTGGAGGGCTGGCTCAGCACTTAAAGCACTTGCCATGCAACTGTGAGGACTAGAATTTGGATCCCCAGATCCCACTTAAATGTCTAGTGGGCACTGATGGCTCTCTTATAATTCCAACATCAGAAGATTGTCGAGGTGGCATCCCTGGACAGGCTGGCCAGCAGGACTAGCCATACTGGCAAGTTGGGGATTTGAATGAGAGACTTGTCCTCAAAAAAAAGAAACAAACAAACAAACAAAAAAAAAACTGTGAAGTAGAAAGTTATCCAGGAACATTCCTGACATCAACCTTGGGCCTACACACATGAACATGCAAACATGCAAACATACATACACCACACATATGTGCATACATGCACACACAAACATGAAAATAAGGTTAAAAAAAAAGCTCCATGAACTAATATTTACCTTTACTGCAGTGTGCAACATACTGCTGTGTTTTATTCTATTTCTTTTAAAAAATGCTATAGGGGACAGGGATATAGCTCAGTGGCAGTGTGTACTTAGCATGTGCAAGGTCACATAGCATACACATCTACACACCCACATACCCACATGCATACTCATCACACACCAAGACAAAATAAAAATGCCATCATCCATAATCAATCACATTTGTTTCACAACCACAAAAATAAGCTATAACGAACATTTTTTAAAAATCTAAGTAAACTGGAACTAAAAAAGCTAAGATTTTCCCCTACAATTTCTTTAACCTGTAGCAGTCAATGAGTATATAAACTCACAGAGCCTCAGAACAAATCAAGACACTAAGCCCTTTTAGAGAAGACTCTAGAAACTTTTTAATAAGGCCTTAAGTGTCCTTAACCCAAAACTGTTGAATGCATAAGAACAGATAAACAAGTATATGTATATTCTCATCATAGGCACACAAACACACTGTTTCTGAGCCTATAAATAACTGCCACATTGTTCAGCAGTTAGGAGAACTACCTCTCCATGGTAAGTTTCTATAGCAACAAACACCATCGGACTCTGCTGTTAAGTGCTGATAGAATAAAAATGTAAAAAGATAATGGAGCATCTGCCTGCCAAGTTCCTCTTCCTTTTTTCTTTAGAAACAAACCTCTTTTTTCTTTAGAAACAGACCCCAAAATAGTTTTAGGTCATTAACATTTAGGATAAATATCTTTATCCTCTTCTCTTGATTTCTGTAACCTCCTTTCCCAAGTACCATTACACAAACTGTTCAAGTTATCTCTTCCTCAGTCTTGCTGCCCCTCCACAAGGCATTCTACTTAAAAGTTTTCATTTACTCCATGCATTCTACAACCTGAGTTCTATCTACTCCATTTACATAAAGGTTTAAGAATTCAAAACTATCACCTAAAAATATGGCCTTGGCAGTTCCAAATATTCAGTCATTATTTAAGGAACACATAAAGTCCCAGTAGTATGTATATATTACTTAATAATTCTGTATCTGTCAAAAGTTTACAATCGTGATGGTTTAAATAACAGAGATGATTGTTGTTGTCCAAGAACTATCTCAGGTTTGGGGAAAACAAGAAAGCTCTGTTCCCCACTGTCCATGTTGAGGGACACAAACCAATAAGCCTCCATTCACATGGACCACTTCTATGTAGCAGGAAAAATTATTTACCCAAAATTATCATAAATCAGCTCCTGAAACCTTCTACCTAGAAGATGACACTTCTCTTCTGCTCACATTTCAATGGTTAAATAGAAACTGCACAGCCATACTGACTTCAGAGGGCAAGGAAGTAAAATTTACATGCAGACAGAGGAGAGCCAGCAATGTTGCTGAGCATGACTAGCAACTTCAGGACTGGAGAATTCTGATTATGAGCTTGTAATAAGCACTAATGGTTGTTTTCTTCTAGAAGGATTATGAATGATCATCACTCTACTTTTAAATGTTTTCAAATTTTAAAAAATATTTTATTTATTATTTTTATTTTATGTATATGAGTGTATTGCCTGAATGTATGTGAGTGCACCCGTGTTGTACAATGCCACAGAGGTCAGAAGAAGGCTTCAGATTCCCCTGGAACTGGAGTTAAGGATGGTTTGTAGCCTCCATGTGGGTGCTGGAAATCGAACCCAGGTCCTCTGCAAGAGCAGTCAGTGCTCTTAACCACTGAGCCATCCCTCCAGCCCCAAATGTTTTCAAATTTTTTATGATGTACATATACATTATTTCTATGACACAACTAAAAATAGATCTAACAAAAGATTGGCAGCTAATAATCAAAAGTCACTAACAGATACTCCATAGACTGGAATCATAGTTAAGAAATGAACCTACCAGTATAGTAGATGCAATCTCTACCCATGCTAGAATTGGTTTTTCTAATATTGATATAACGGTCTGGTTTGACTTCAACCAGAGATGTAACTAGCCATAGCCACTGAGAAGAGCAAACCCTACACCGTGGTTTATCTATTGTCATAGAGAAGGCACAAAGTGCTTTCAAATGGTAGGCAAAGGTTCTTTCCCCATTTGCAAGACATTACCATTTCTGTAATTCTAGTTTTGTAGAATGAAATGACAGTGATATTTACTCTTATAGAATAGAAAGTCAACAAAGAACCTCAAAATGAGGGCTGGAGAGATGGCTCAGCAGTTAAGAACACTGACTATTCTTGCAGAAGACCTGGGTTCGAATCCCAGCACCCACATGGCAGCTAACAACTGTCCATAACTCCTATTCCAGGGGATCTGACAGCCTCTTCTGTCCTCTGCGGGCACTGCACAACATGGGTACACTTACCTACATGCAGACAATACACATGTACACATAAAATAAAAAATATTTTTTATCTTTAATTAAAAAAACCTCAAAATAAAGACATCTCCCCATCCCTATTTATTTTGTAGCTTACAAAATGTTAGTGCCATCCGTGTACTGTTATTACTGTCTGTATCAGTTACCTGGCAAACAGACATGCTACTATTTATATCAAAGACAACCAAAGCGTTAAAAAAAATTTAAACCATATTTCTTAGCATTTTAAAGCTAGAAATATGAGTTCCCTTGCTTACTTTTATAGGTGGATAAATTATTTTTAAATTTTGACATATTACAACTATATTAGTCTTTTTAAAAAACATTTACATTTATGTGTATATATGCTTGCACATGTGTGTACAAGACTACCACAGCACAAGTGTGGTCAGAGGACAACTTACAGAAATCTCTCCTTCCACTGCTCTAAAGTATTTTTTTTTTTTTCCTTTTTTAAAGATTTATTTAACTGTACATGTATGTCTGTGTGAGGTATCCTTGGAGGCCAGAAGAGGGTGCTGGATCACCTGGAGCAGGAGTTACAGCTGTAAGCCACCAGATGTGGGTACTAGGAACTGAATTCAGGGCCTCTGGAGAGCAGTGAATGCTCTTAGTCACTAAGCCATCTCTCCAGCCCCACATAGTCTTAAAAGAGTGCTGAGGCCTGAAAAAAAAATGTAAGCCTTAAATTATTTTAGAGAAAAATTCTTTTATGTGAAAGAATTAAGAACTTATATTAAATTGTAAAATAATTGTTCAAATGTTAATGTTATAATTTCCAAACATGGGCTTGCGAGATAACTCTCCTGCCAAACCTGAAGACCTAAGTTGGATCCCCAGGACTCACATGATAGAAAGAGAGAATGTGGCATGTTCCTAACACACATACACACACACACACACACACACACACACACACACACAAATAGCTGTAAAAAAATTTTTAAGCATTGAAATCTGTCAACGTAGCAGTGATTTTGAAGTAGTTTTAAAACTATACAAGAAGCTGAAAAAAATACACCTTCCAAATCATTTAACAGAAAATAAAGCTACAAACACCTCTGTCACTGATACTAGAAAATAAAAGTATGCTGAAATTCAAATGCCTTACCTGTATTTTGACTACTGGCTCATTCATTAAAAAAACATTGGATTCATGGCTTTAGGCAAAGGATTTAATCTGTGATGAATACAGTATTCTCAATTCTTTGAATAGGACTAGGACATATTTCTGAGGTTTCTTAAAGCTCTTGTATGCATGTCCTGAGATGAACATCTCAGGAGAGTTTCAGTGGCAATTAAGAATGGGCTAGCTTACATTTAAAGGCCTACTGACGTTAACAGAAACCCAAATTTTTGAAGGCTTTTTGGAACTTTGTCATTTTAAAACTAAGGTGTAAAAGAAATTGTTTTCTATGACATTGTGTTACATGAATAATTTTCTATTTTAAATCCATATAAATAATTTTCCTGGACTAGAGAGATGGCTCAGTGGTTAAGAACACTGGCTGTTCTTGCAGAAGACCTGGGTTCAAATCCCAGCACCCACATGGCAGCTAACAACTGTCCATAACTCCTGTTCCAGAGGATCTGACAGCCTCTTCTGTCCTCAGCAGGCACTGCATGACACAGGTGCACTTACCTACTCGCAGGCAATACATGCATACACATAAAATAAAAATAATAAATTAAAAAAATACAAATAATTTTCCTACCTAGGTCTGTTACTTGTCGATCAAATGGGCAACGTATTGCTCTCCCATGAAGAGGCAGGCGAGTGAGACAGTCATGACAGACTGTGTGGCCACAAAGAAGAAGGCGAGGAACTTTGTCTCCTTGCAAAGAAAAGACATCTTCACAAACTCCACACTCCAGAACCTGGTATTTGAAATAGAAATATGTGTTCTGTAAGCAATTTTAAGGCATACATATTTTAGGCTTAAAAATAATTGACCTAATATATTTAATCAATCTTTATTTCTCCATTAAAGGTATCTGTTATAAAGCATTAAATCAATTTTTAGTTATGCCTATCTGAAATACCTTGCCAAATTTATACCACAGAGAAATCTCCTTGTACTGATTAAATGTTGCAAATATAATCTTCTAAAAACTAAATCTGTAGCAATATATAATTCTACTGAAAGCAATTTTTCTGCAACTACCTTACCCACAAATAAACAACTGCTTCATTTTGTTTTATTTTAAGATAAGCTAAGTAGCCCTGGATGGAACTCAGGAGAAGTTGGCCTTTGCCTCCTAAATGTAAGGATTACAGGAGGCACCACTATTGTTTGCCTTAAACCACTACTAACCTCAAACAAAATAGTCTAAAAACTGTGTTGGGATGCCAATTACTTTTTTAATCCATACAAATAATAAAGAACTTGTAAAGAATGCTACAAGAAGTGTTCAAGTATCTTCTAGAATCTATTTATGTAAAATAATGTAAAAGCACAAAAGAAATTAGATGAGAATTAAATTTCTTGCTCTTTATTGGTAAGTACAGTCCTGAGTTAAAATATATTTGTCTACCTAGCTACAATTACAGGTACATGACTACCAAAAGGCACACAGTCAAAAGAAAGGTTACAAGACTTGGTATACTTTGGTTCCCAAGTTCATGAATTTAGGTTTTATAATCAGTAACTATATTTATAACAGCATGCTATTTTCAGTGTTTTTATACCTATGTCTTGTTTGTATTGTGTCCAATTCTAATTGCTTAAAAATATATATCCACAATGAATTATTTCACTGTGTCCCCAAACTTGTGCCTGCCATTCAAGGCCTGCTACAACCTGGCCAGTTCCCTGTTTCACTGCCATTCTCTTCAGATCCTTATGCTCACACTGTACCAAATAGCCTTTAGTTCCCAGAACAGGACACAGTTTCTTCAATCTTTCTTTATATTAATGCTGATGAAACAGCTAAAGAAGCATTCACCTCCTGGATTCCTTTTAATTTAATAAAAAAAAAAATCCAAACACCTTTTACCTCTTAGTCGACCCATTGCTCAATCCAACCGAAATGACTACACTACCCTTTGAGCTTCTGTGTACTCTGAATATTGACCTGCCTATAAAACCCAATACTTCAAAACTTGGCTGACCTGTCTTTCCCTGTTAGACCACAAGTCCAGAACAGTGTATTCCAAAATACCAAACACCTATGTGCTTGTGTAAATAAAATCCAAATCCAACAATATAAAAATTTAAAAACAATTCAGCCCATCACCAAACAAATACAGCACAAAGCAAAAAGTAGAAAATTAAGGGGCTGGAGAGATGGCTCAGCGGTTAAGAGCGCTGACTGCTCTTGCAGAGGACCCGGGTTTGATTCCCAGCACCCACATGGTGGCTGACAATCATCTGTAACTCCAGTTCTGGAGGATCTGATACCCTTCTCTGACTTCCGTGGGTATTGCACAACACGGGTGCCCCTATCTAAATTCCTCTGCGGGCATTGCACGACATGGGTGGACTTACCTACATGCAGGCAATACACGTATACACATAAAATAAAAATAATAAAAATAATTTTAAATGAAAATTAAAAAATAGAAAATTGAGTGGAAATTTCATTAGATCCATTATAACTTTAAACTGGATTCTGCAATTAATTTAGATTTAGTAACTGAGATGCAAATATCTTTTACTATAAATAAACTGATAATTGATAGCTGCTTGCATCCTAGTATGGTTCAAAAAAAACATGTAGCATCGTTCACAGAAAAAGGAAACAACTCCTTAAATATATTCAAAGTTCAACCTAACTTCATAAAGATACAAAGAAAAACTACCTAAGACAATTCTTCAAAAAGTTGCTAATATTTTGTGCTAATGAAAATGTAATAAAGCAATTTCACTGACTGGTGTGAAATATTTGAGTAGTGACAGCATGGAAGCAACTTAGTGACATTTATCAAAAGTTTAACTCCAGCTGCAGGAATTTATTCTAAAACTGTATCATACACACACATCAAGGTAAAAAGATTTCCTCCTCTTTTTTTTTTTTTCTTCTCCTCACTGCTGGGGATCTCAGGGCCTTTCACATGTTAGGCAAATGTTCTGCTACTGACTGAGTCACATCCCCAGCCTACATGTGACAAGATAAATGTGTTATTCCTTAAAGCATCATTTGGATCATCAAAGTATTGAAAACAGAGTTAATATATATAAATACCAACTCGAAGATAAATCATAGTACATTCACATGCTATAAAACTGCAGGCTAGTCAAGACTAAGGAAGCTTTGTGTGTGTGTATATATATATATATGCATATATGTGTGTATATATGTGTGTTTATATACATATATACAGACTCATATGAATAAAGCAAAGGAAGAATGATTAAGGAAGACTGACAAGATACACATTTCAATTATGGAATAAAACTTCAAGTTCACAAAATACCCTGCAGATATTCTCTATCTGGCAAAAGCACAATTCAGAATATAATCTCATCCACAAAATATGCCAAATAATGAAGGCTCTTCTACATTTCAGATCTGTATACCTTCAAAATAATGTCATTAATATAAAAAGTGAATCAACAACCACTAGTGTTGACTGATACTTAATTATGGGCATAAATTCCTCAAAAATAGATCTTCATTTTAAAAACTATCGGTATCTATCATTCAACATGTTAAAGGAAAGTCCAAAAGGACTTGGTTCATTGGTTCTCAATCCTAGTGTACATTAAAATCACTTCTGGCAATTTAAAAGAATATACGGATGTCAACATACTCAGAAGTGGAATGAAAATTAATCTCTTGGTTATAGATGATGTTGAAAGCTATCTATAAACCACTGAGATCAGTCGTCCTTTCAGAACTTTATTAAACAATGGGGAAAAAATGAGCTTCACATATTTCAGCTTAATTTTTAGTATTAAAATTTTAGCTTAGTTTTTTGTATTCCTACATATACATGGTAGACTCTCAAATTTCAAGCACAAGGTTATATCTTACTGTTAAGGCCCAATTGTGGGGCAGTTGGGAGACTTCTATTAAGAGACGAGGGGCTGCTCAACAAACGTAATGATTATAGAAGTAGTGCAATACTGAGAAGCTGACGTTACAGCCAGCACTCTGGGCTCTTACCACCTATTGTATTAACTAAACCTAGGTTTTCTTCCATATAAAATGAGAATTGACATCTACCTTTCAAATAGATATTGACGACCTGAAACGTCTAACATACTATTTGGCTATTATATGGTCGTTTAATAAAACTCCGCTAAGTAATGCCTGTTGAGGTTTCAGTAAAAACAAGACGTGGGAAAGAGACCGGTCCAGATCACTTCCACAGGCCCGCACAGTGCTTTTCACAACAGTCGCGTCGTCGACGCAGACGCCTGACGGAGCAGCCGGGGCAGCAGCTTCAGGCCAGCGGACCGAGGGTCACCGAGGGGCAGGCGGGGCTGTAAAGCCCATGGGTCGCAGAGGCCGCGCATACCGCCCTTCCAAGCCCGGGCCGCAGCGTCGCAGTTGGGGCTCCAGGAGGAACCGAGGAGGCCGCTGGTGGAGGAGAACAGAGCACGCAAGGTCCCTCACCTTCACCACAGCCGTCCCCCGGCTGCCCTGCCGCCCACTGTCCAGCCCGGCTCCCGGCTTGTTTACAACTAGGGCAGCCATCCTGGAAGAGCCACGGCCGGGAGACGCAGCGCCCAGAGCCTTTAATTGAGAGGAGGGGTTGGGCGACCTACCCAGAGGGCCTGGGCGCAGGCCTCCGACGCACATGCGTAATACAGGCGGGGCGCCGCTCTGCGCCTGCCAGTCCTTTCCTCTCCCGTCAGTCATTGGCTATTTGGACATACAGTTGTGCGCCTGCGCATTTTTCCTTTTTTTTTGTTTATCTTTTTAAAAATTTTTTAAATTTAATAACCACATGATTAGGAGAAGCATTTCATTACAGCTTTAACATATTCAGTAACACATTCCAGAGCAAGGATACATCTCTTTCAAAGGTGGCTGTAAATTTTTAGGTTCACAGTTGAATTAATAGTCATACAATATTGAACTCAGTATAAACCCTGTAAGACGTAAACTTGAATCAGTTTTTACCCTTTAAAGAAGATCTCCATTTCATTTTCAGATATGCTGTTTCCTACATTTTTAATGCTACTTTAATCTCTATGTATCTGATTATAACTAGTCACAGTAGTTAACACTCAGATCCTTAGTACCTGAGTATGCATGTAAAGTCATCAGGTAGATTTCACTGGTAATATCACCTCTACTATTTAACATGAAGTAAAATTTTTCAAAAAATATTTATAACTACGTGATTAGAAGAAGCATTTCGTTACAGCTTTAACATATTCAGTAACACACTCCAGAGCAAGAGTACATCTCTTTCACAAGTGGCTGTAAGTTTCTAGGTTCACAGTTAAATTAATACAGTTATACAATATTGAACTCAGTATAAGCCCCGTAAGACAAAAAATTGAATGTGGTTTCTTTATGGGTTTTATTTATTTATTTATTTATTTATTTATTTATTTATTTATTTGGTCTTTTTGAGACAGGGTCTCCCTGTAGCCCCAGCTATCCTGGAACTCACTATGTAGACCAGGCTGGCATTGAACACACAGAGATCAGCCTGCCTTTGCCTCCCTAGGGCTAGGATTAAAGGAGTGCACCACCACGCCCAGCCTGAATGAGTTTTTAACCTTTAAAAAAGATCTCCATTTCATTTTAGAATATATTGTTCCTTACAGAAAGACTCATTGTTTTTGCCAGTAACACTGAGATGTTGGCACACGCATCCCTAATCTGTATGTATCTGATTATTACTAGTCATAATCAGTTGCACTTGGATCCTTGACTCCTGTGTAAGTCTATAAAGTCATCTGGCAGATTTCAATGGTAATGTTTATCACCTCTACTAATTAACATGTTGTAAATTTCCATGCTTCCTCCTCAAATATAATACATTTAAAATTTTTTTATTTTATGTGTGTGTGTATATCACACACAACATACCAAACCATTTTACTCAACTATACCCCCCCTTCCCAGATGGCACCCTCTCATAGCCTCCCTCCCCCAACTAGAGCCCTTATACTCTGATATCCCCGCTACTGCCTGCTGTGTTGTCGGCACCCCCAGCCATTGAGGCTGCAAGTAGTGGGTGGAAAAAAGAAAATCGAAAGTAAAAAGAACAGGTGAAACATAAATAAAAGTTTAGCGTGAAAGGGCCAGCTCTTGTGATGATTTTTCCTCCCCAACTGAAACTCATTAGCATGAAGGCGTGGACCACATCTCCCTTTATGCACTGCGAAATTTTGTATTAACTACAAATCCCAGCATGCCTCTCCACTACCTTTTTTCCTTTTTCTGCCCACTATGTAAGCACTTGGGAGGCCATGTTTTGTCAGCTCCAAGTGGCTCTTTGACCCAGATTATGTGATTGTGAATGGAAAATATTTTATGTACAGTTTTCTACAAGGAAATGGCCTTGGTGGAAAGAAGACTTTGGGACCGTAAAGGACTTAATGAAAAACGAATTTAAGGCATCACCTACAGGAGAGGAGTTGCTCCGAGTGTGTTTGACGCCGGGTCTTCCCGGACGTGTGCTTTGCAGTTTCCTTTCCGATCCAGACGAACCTCTTCAGCCTCCGTAGTCTGAGGACAGAAGTGCCTGTCAAGATGGAAGTGAATCCCCCCAAGCAGGAGCATCTGCTAGCTCTGAAAGGTAAACTTTTGGGAACTGGAGTCTCCTTACTCTGTCTTTCGTTCTCTAGCCGTTTGATGCTTCTGCCAGCCTAGACCTGGCCCCTGAGATACAGGCCTTATCCTTAGACACCGTCAGGACTTGTCCTTCTCTGTGTAAGAGATGCCTTCTAGAATGAAATCCAAACTTGGCAAGTCACTCTGGTCTGTCACCCACAGAAACTGACGCCGGACCCTGTTGGAGAGACATCTCTGTGAACCGGAATAACCACTTAAAGTGGTTGTTTTTGTTTTTTTTTTCCCTTCTCTTGTCTGTTCTTATGGCATGGATGAAGTTGCGTGACAATGTCAAGGATTTAGAAATCCTTGCTACTTACTACGCCTTATACCTCAGATTTGTTAAAATACACTGCACATTACTTTAGATTATCATGTATTATGGATGTGGGAAATTTGTCCAGACTCTCCTGTCACCTTTCATTTTCTAGACAAAGTAGCTTTCAGCAGGTTTTGTTGATTTTTAATTTACCAGAAAAAAAAGCTAACAGGACAGCTAAACCTGGAATTTGCTTATCAAAAACTTATTTAAAACATTTTCAACTTTATTTTCTCCTGCCACTAATGCACTTTGTTTTTTAAATGCTCTGTTACAGTGTTAGCAGTGCCTTCTTCTACTGATCTGGAGACGTGCTCACCAGACCCTTGAGTTAGATTGAATTACACTTGCCTTAGGGCATCTGTTATGTTCTCCTTATCTCTCACTCATTCCTGGTGATCTACACATACATTCCAGAAGTTCACAGTTCCATTGATAACAAATAATCATATACTCCTGATGCATGGAGTTAACAACACTGAACGTAGAACTAAAGAACTTTGAAACATTAATACAACAATGGGCTATGTAGGCTTAGCTTCAGCAAATGATCTAGACTAAACAGATTATATATGGATAAAAGGAACTTACTGTATATTCATTATCTCATTCTTGCATCAAAAATATAGACTAGATACTACCTTTTAAGGTTTAGCAACTTTTCTAAGATCACATATCTTAGTAAGGGGTTGAGGCAGTAATTGCACTAAGATGCTCTGTCCTTGCTTTCTACTGAATGAAACCTCTTTTTCAAAGACCATTACGTTACTGGCAACTTTTATGTGAATTTGGAGCAGTTGTGTTAGTTGCTAGGTGTGATTTCATACAAATTTGACACTATTAAAAATTCATGGTCTTACTGTTTATTTTTAGAAACACAAGATACCTAGTAAAGACTATTTAAGCAGGCTGATGGGACAAGTGGTTTGCATTTCACTGGCAGTTTCTGCTTTATTAAACCTGTTTGGCATTATTTTTCCCACTTTGTCCTAGATAATCAAGAATTTCACAAGTTTTGATTCTACTGATGATGAATGTCCAAGGATACCAATTTAAATGGACATTTAACTTTGTTTTCTTATGTATCAATATGTAAAATGTTAAGAAAATATTTTTTTACTCTTTTTTTTTCTGCCCAATCTCTCTTCCCTTCCCCACCCTTAGTCCTTCCCCTCACTCTCTCTACCCCCACACTTATCTCCACTTCTCTCCTCCTCCTCCTCTTTTTTGTTTGTTTGTTTGTTTGTGGTTGGTTGGTTGGTTGGTTGGTTGGTTGGTTTTTGAGACAGGGTCTCCCTGTAGTTCCTGCTGGCCTGGAACTTACTATGTAGACCAGGCTAACCTCCATCTCACAGAGATCTGCCTGGAGATCATGCCTCCAGATTGCTGAGATTAAAGGTGTGTGCTACCATGCCCAACCTCATTTGTTTTTTTGAAACCTGGTTACATGTACCCAAGTAAGCTAGAGTTCAAACCCAGGGCTTTGTGGATGCTAGGCAAGCACTCTACTAACTGAAATATCCCCAGCCCTCTTTGTTAATCTTGAAATGAGAAAAATTTTGACTTAAAAGTAAGTCTCACAATTTCCATTGTCTCTTGAGTGCATCACTGGATAAGTTCAAGCAATAGTGAAAGAATTCTCATTGTCTTGCCTTCCAGTGTGAAGGTATAAGAAGGGAGAAGAAAAGTACAAACCATTATTAGTCTATATTAACAATTATGAATCTTCAGAATTGTAGTTATCTTTAACTTTGAGAGTGGCCACCCTTGGCATAAGAATTTTTATGCAGTTAGTTCCTTCTTAGCGCTTCAGAATCAGAGCATGGTTCTGTTGTGACATCATGACAGGAATTTCTGTCATAGTTATTCTAGGAGTGCGAGAAATTTCATCATTGGTTTCTAATGGTCTGGGGAATAAAAGAGATTAAACCTGGGGAGCACAGTGGGTTAGGATATAAAAGAGCCTGTATTACAGCTCATACAGCTTTAGACCTGGTTAGGAAGCCCAGCTTATAGATCAGATCTTGGAAGGCTCCATTCTTGAGACCATGTATGCTAGAACTTCTTGTCACTGCTGTAATTTGGGGCCCCATGACAACTTCTGTGTTGTGTTGTTCGTCCTCCAAATTGGGGTTCAGGAGCCATGGAACTAAGTCTCAATACTATGTTAAGTACCAGCTCTGTTCAGAGAAGACTGTCACAGCTCAGTTTCTGTCTGGATTAACATGCAAGTTTAAATCATATTCATGTTTTTTATGTTTCCTATAGAGATTGAGATATAATCATTGTCTTCTATGTATTGGTAGAATTCATAAAATTTTAAAGTATGAACAGACTCATTTTATGCCAGATAGATAAAAAATTACAGTGATTTCATTTTTCTTAATTCAGATGTCACAGATTTTTAAATATTACATTATGTGATAAGAATCACTAACAAGTTTTTTTTTTTTAATTTTTTATGTGTATGAGTGTTTTGCCTGCACGTATGTAAGAACACAAGTGTGCAGTGTAGCAGAGGCCAGTAGAGGGCATTGACTCCCCTGAAACTCCCCTGAAGTTAAGGAAGGGCATTAACTGTCATGTTAATGCCAGTGGTCTTAACTGCTGAGCCATCTCTCTATCCCTGAGAATCACTAACTTTTTGCCTCTGATATAGTTTTAGGACTATAACATTTTAATAATAATACTTCCAAATTCTTTATTGAGTTAAAAATGTTGACTATTAGTATTTTTCAGGGTAGATGTAATCTGAATTGGAGTCCGATTCAGATCCCTTATTGTTATGAGAAAGGATTTTCAAATTTGTGGGTTACGGTCACATTCACTTTGTTAAAATACCACACAGGGAATGGTTTTTGGTTCTCTTTCTCCCTGCCTATATGTATGGAGGCTGCCCCTACCATAACTTACTTTTTGCAATACTTCCACTTTAGGTCCTGTTTCCTCTGGTTTGACAAGAGAGACAGTCTTGTAATAATAAGTTACATTCTAGCTCTGAAGAATTCAGCTAAGAAATTTTCTCTTCATTAAAAGTTTAAGGATTACTGCAGAATGACAACTGAAGTAATATTATACTATCGACCATATGAAAATGATCCCACACAGCTGCCAAAGATTGCAGAAAAAGCAATTCAAGATTTTCCTACTCGTCCATTGTCAAGATTTATTCCTTGGTTTCCTCATGATGGGTCCAAACTCCCACTCAAGCCTAAAGGATTACCACCAGTAATATCTGGAGAGGTTGCTGAGAATGTGAAACAATACTTAACCATTTCCGAACATAGTGTTAAATCACAGAGTTATGATTGCACAGTAGATCTTTTGGAGTTCCAGCCTAGTTTGAAAAAGCAGCACTTAATCCAGTCACACACACTGAATAAACAATCTAATTCTGGAAATCTGGGTAAAAAATCAGAAAAAGAAAAACAGCACAAGAGGAGGTCTTGGAGTGTTTCACTTCCCAGCAACAATTGTCCAGAAAAGATTTGTCCTTTGTCTAAAAAATTGCAAAATACTTTAAAGGCACTAAATCTGCACTCACTTCATAGAGCAAAATGGATAATAGAATATAGTGTTTGCAAGAACCAGACTCTGGAAGACATTTGGGCAAAACTCAATCACCTTATCAGGCATGATGAACTTCCTTCATGTAATGCTACTATTCAGAGACATGTAGGCCAAGTATGGGTGTTCTGTGACGTTATGTACTGTGAATATGTAGGCAATCTTCTTAAAGAGAGATTAGCTCTTACTGGAAAAATTAATTTATCTGTGCGTAAACATGGTGTTATTTTTAGTATGTAATGAAGTTTCATTGTCAGAAAAATATGCTGAATTAACTGAGTTTGGACTGAACTAGTGAAATGAGTAAATTTTACTGGTCATTACTTTTAGTGATGTAAAAGTTGATGCTTTCACAATAAAGCCTATTATCCTTTATATTGTGAAGAAATGATTGTGTAGTAATATGTGTACAGTTTGTGTCCCAATATAAATAGTATCACATGGTTCCTAGGCTTGCCAATTAAGTCAGGAACATTCTAAATTCTGCTTATTTGAAGCATTCTTTTAAAGAATTTTGATAAATTATTGTTTGTACTAGAATTGAAAGTAAATGTTCTGTTCTTTTGTTCCACTGACTGAAAAGAATATTGCTATGAATTAAAATAAATGGTTTGAATTTGGATGAATCTCTAAATCCTCATTTTTTTTTTTAACTCACCTAAGTGTAATGTGGTGGTGTTGTTTTAATAAAAGTAAAAACAATTCTGTTGGGAATAATATTCAGATGGCATGAATGTTGTTTGGAGTGGAAAGCCAGCCCAGATTCTTTAGTGATGCTTCCAATAATATATGCTAGATTGACAGTGGGTTTTTGGGTTGTTTTTTTTTTTTTTTTTGTTTTTTTTTTTTTTTTTTGTCTTTTTGAGACAGGGTCTCCCTGTAACCCCAGCTGTCCTGGAATTTTACTATGTAGACTAGGCTGGCCTTGAACTCACAGAGATCCACCTGCCTCTGCCTCCCGAGTGCTGGGATTAAAGGCGTGTGCCACCACACCTGGCCATTTTTTTTAAAACAATAAATCTAAATCTGTCTAAATTGTCTAAATCTGTGAAATATTCTTAATACTCTAACCCATTAGGAAGGAAAGTGTCAAATATGAATAAGATACCAAATGATTCCTTTATTCTAATACAAAAAAAATGGATTTTCTTTAATGCTAAGGATGGAATCTAGGGCCTCATGCATACTGAGCAAACCCCATACCAATGAGCTACGTCCCCATTCCCATAATTCAGTCTTCATTTTCAATTTTTATTATTTTTAATTATGTGTATTTTTCTGTGTATAGATATGTGCATGTGTTTACAGGTGCACTCTGAGGTCCAGGCTTCAGATCCCCTCCGAAGCAGGAGATACAAGCAGTTGTGAGCTGTCATGTGGGTGCTAGGAATCAAACTCAGGTCCTTTGCAAGAGCAGTGTGTGCTTTTAACTGCTGAGTCATCTCTCCAGTCCCTCATAATTCAGTCTTAATGACTGTTGTTTGTTTGTGGGTTTTTTGTTGTTTCTTAAGACTGGGTCTACCTGTAGCCCCAGCTGGCCTGGAACTCCCTATGTAGACCAGGCTGGCCTCTATCTGTGAGCTTTGCTGCCTCTGACCCCAAGTGCTGGAACTAAAGGTGTCTTCCACCATGCCTGCCAATCTTTTAATGACTGTTAATGCTCTTTCATTACTTGACTGATTGTTCACCATTTAGGTTTCTTATGAGCAGAATGTTATAAATTGGGTTTACGTCACATAAAAATACCCAAAATGAAGCTGGGTGTGGTGGCACACGCCCTTAGTCCCAGCAGAGGCAGAGGCAGGCAGATCTCTGTGAGTTCAAGTCCAACCTGATCTACATAGTTCCAAGCCAGCTGGTACTACAGGGAGACCCTGTCTCAAAAAGACCAGAAAAAAAAGACCCAAAATGCTTAGTAATAGTTTTGTAAAAGGATGTAGACATATTCTTCTTTAATGAAGTTAAATACCTACTTTGGGTGTAGGTGGATTATAATAGGGAAGACAAATGTGAACCCTTCCCTCACAGAGCTTACATGGTGTGATTATTAAGTCAAACTAGCTCCCTGAGAAAAACCAGTAACACTTACTAGGATGAGAAAGAGACACGTTTGCTTTATGTATGCCAGCCAATGCCTGGTGTAGAAGCTTGCTTATGTGTGGTAACTGTGGTCTTTGAAAGGACACAACCTGATAATACTTAAAAACACCAGAAACCCCTGATTATAAACTAGAGACGATCTTTTCCTGATAGTTTCACTCTATCTAAATAGATGTAGTTTAAGTTTTTTTTGTGTGTGTGTGTTTTTTTGGGGGGGGGTTCTTTTTGAGACAGGGTCTCCCTGTAGCCCCAGCTGTCCTGGAACTCACTATGTAGACCAGGCTGGCCTTGAACTCACAGAGATCTGCCTGCCTCCCAAGTGCTAGGACTATAGGTGTGCGCCACCTATAGGTGGCTTAATTAACTTTTTACTGCCTTACATGAGACTGTCAGTAATCTTTTGCATGAATGCTTCCAGAACTCATCCGTGGAAAAGAAACCACTTGGTGACTTGGGGCATTCTCAAGCCAGCTCTCTCAGTAATTCCTTTCTCTTTCATTTCATAAGTTCTTTTCAGTCGCAACTGCTGTGAAATTCCAAGAAGTTATTCGATATTTCCAGTAAATTTGCAAATAAAAGTTGGCTAGTATGCAGTCTTACACAGTATATCTGACTTTTGTTTTTCAGAACTTATCACAAAGTTACTGATCAAGAATTAAAGTTGAGAAGTAATAGCATTTTTATGATAATAGTTTTATCATCCTGAAATGATTGTAAACAGCTAAAAATATAGGTTACAGTTAAGAGTCATGAGATTATTATGAACCGTTTTTAAATTCAAGAATTAAAAGGAGTTTCTTTGTTTTCGTATGTAGAAGACTTCAGTTTTTCTGATTTACTCTAGATGGATTGCCTTCTACCTCTCTGAGAAACAATGCAATTAAAAACAGAGAAATTAAAGGTTTTTATTACAAGTAGTATAATGATCTTAAAATGATGTTTTATTTCCGGTCTACCTGGACAATACTAAGAAGTTATCAAGGGGGCTGGAGAGATGGCTCAGTGGTTAAGAGTACTGGCTGCTCTTGTAGAGGACCTGGGTTTGGTTCCCAGCCACCATCAACCATCCTTAACTCTAATTCCAGGGGAATCTGATGCCCTCTTCTAGCCTCCATGGGCATTGCATGACATGCAGGCAAAACACTCATACATATAAACTTTTTAAAAATGTTTTTTAAAAAAGTTATCAAGCTGAGCATAGTGGCACAAGCCTCTATCCCAGCAGAGGCAGAGACAGGAGGATCACTGTGAGATCAAGGCCAGCCAGATCTACATGGGGACTTCCAAGCTACAGGGAGACTCTCAAAACAAAACAAAACAAAACAAGAAGTTATCAAGACTGAAGAATTAAGAGCCTACTGTTATTTCCTAGAAGCTTTTTAAAAGGATGTCAAATTTTAGAACACTGATTCTAGCACTAGCTAAAAATAAGGCCAACTGGTGTTTCAGGATTCCATTGTTTAGTCATACACTGGAATATACTGTGGAAACAGACATGAGGAAAATCAGTGAGGGCATCTGGAAAAATACAATCAGCATTTCCTCTCAAGGAAAGTGGAAGGAATACCTTGTTTACTTTTTTCTTATTAGCTGTCTACCTTCAAATAGATATTAAGTCAGATTCAGAGGAGAAGGATAAGTTCTGGAGGCATCCAAGTTGTGAAATATTGTTTGCTCATTTGTTTTAACTTTTGTCCCTGACCTTGACAAATCTAACTTCATTTACCAACTTAACAAATAACACAATTTTTAAAGTTGTTATTTCTAAAATGAGTTCCCAAGTAATGATCTACTTTAACGTAATCTTCACGAAATGACAAAAAGTAATCTAAGGTTCACAATCTTGAAAATCTCCAAGAATTAAGCAAGTAAGGCTGTAGAATGTGGTAAAGACTTTGAATCTGAAGAAGAGTTTACCTAATTTAATAATTCTGGCCAGCCAAAATGTATATGCAAGTTGTTTTTTGGCCCAGTTCATTAAGTTATGACCTTTGG